ATAGTTTTCTTAAGAAGGGATTGGTAAACTGTGGTCTACAGGCCAAATATGGCCCACTGCTTGATTTTGTAAATAAAGCTTTATTGGACTACAACCACATTCATCTGTTTATATAATGTCTGTAGCTGCTTTCCTGCTATAACAGTAGAGGTGAGTTGCTGCAATAGAATTCATGACCTGGCTTTTTACAGAAAATGTTTGCTGGCTCTCATTCTAAAAAATCCTTCAGTTAATCTTAATTGATCCAAATTATGCCTCAGGGACATCCTTAACACATGATCAAGTGACCACAGAAATATTTCTTATCTTGTTTGGTCTTTTTTTTATCTTAATCTGTAAAAGGAGAGATTTTTTTTTTATCTTAATCTGTAAGAGGAGAGTCTATTGTTTCCAATCTAGGTATTAATTCTCATACTGATTCTCAGCAAATGAGTAGTTTCCTTAGAGAGGTTTGATTACTTCTGAATGGTTGTGACACCTGCACCTCTCATGAAATAAGAGAAGCATTGGCAGGGCCCATGAGGAGACTCAGTTTCCAACTCCTGCTTTGCCCCTAACTGACCCAACCTTTGGTGCTTTGCTTCTGTAAAACGACGAGGCTGGACAGATGAGAATTACATTTCCTTAGAACAGAGAATTAATGATCCAGTGTGTGAAATGCCTCAAGGAAAGCCACACTGGCTACTATGAAAGCCCAAGGAACAGCATCACAACTGGATTTAGGGAGAAGAAAAGACTCAGACAAGGCTTCTTGGAGGAAATGATGCCTGACCTGAATCTTGAAGGATGAGAAGTTCTGCTGGAGAATGAACTCACCAATAAAGCAAAAAGGCATTTTATTGAGGCCATGATTTTATCTGGACAATTAAGAAAATGTTTTAGCATCTAAACCTTAGGGAATATCTCTCTGAATTAAAGCAGACTCTAATGCGTGCATTATGCTCTGCTTCTAGGTGTAATCATGAATGTTACACTGCCCAAAACCTTTTCACAATGTAGTCACCTTTTTCTAGAAAAAAAAAAAAATGTTTCTTTGTGTCTTGTTCATTCAGTTATCAAAGTCCCATCAAAGTATTGAAAAAGACATCAGCTACCACATGCATAAGTGGTATGACTGACCGCTGTATGGAACACCAAGACTTTTTGTGAAAGCGAAGATCAATCAGAGTTTGGACAAAGGGTCATTCCACAGCTGTAATCACAGCCAACAAGAGGTGAGATAACTCTTGACTTCAAATAACTTTGGCAGTGGGATTAGGCAATATGCTTAAGCAGCAGTCACTTTCATGTGGCTAAACAACCCAGCAGCCACAACAATAGATTCTGAAGGGAGGAAAGTTATCTGAATTGACCTAACTATGCAATCTCAGCAATGATGATTCCCAAGTAATTGCTGCTAGCTCTCCTACAATACTGTCTGTACTGTTGTTGTAAGTAGAGTTCATTCATGCATTCAACAAATGTTAGTGAGTACAAACTATGTCCCAGCTCTTCGTATACACTGGAGATACAACCATTAAAAAGTGAAACGAAAACCCTTGACCCTGTGAAGTCTACAGTCTTGTGCATCATCTTTGCATTGAGAAAAATGTAACAAGTTTTAACTTCCATTCAATAGGACATATTGCTGCTCTGCACAGTCCCCAATGGACATTTTGCAAAAGAGTCTGAACCAAACCTGAGCCACCGTTCCTCCTTGTCTCTCCATCTTATTCTCTGTCATAGCAACACACAGGACAAGATAAAACCAAGAGAGCCTGATGCTTCTTCCTTAATGCAACCTTATTATCAAGCCAAATGACTTTTTAAACCTCAAAACAGATATGTGTGAATATCAAGACCCTAAAGAATGCTCATAACCTTTGAACCACTTCTGGGAATCCTGACTAAGAAAGCAGACTAGCTTTTGAAAAGAATTTAGATGCAATAAGTGCACATCACAGCTTCAATGAACCTAGCCCCACCCCAAGACAAATTAAATGCCCAACTATAAATGAATGTATAGGTAAATTATTGTTTTTACATTAGATGAAATCAGCAGATTTTAAGAAATCTATGATAATGAGGGAAAGTACTCACTATAAAATGTTAGGTAATTAAACAGAACAAAAAACCATATGTTCAACATAACAAGCATGCGTGAAAATCTACTAAGAAAAAAGATTTGATAGATAGGGACACGGATGAACCTGGAAACCATCATTCTCAGCAAACTAACACAGGAACAGAAAATCAAACACTGCACGTTTGCACTTAAAGGCGGTTGTTGAACAGTAACACATGGACACAGGGAGGGGAGCATCACACACTGGAGTCTGTGAGAGGGAACTGGGGGAGGGGCAGTGGGGGGTGGGGAGTTGGGGAGGGATAACATGGGGAGAAATGCCAGACAGAAGTGATGGGGAGGAAGGCAGCAAACCACATTGCCATGTATGTACCTATGCAACCATCTTGCATGTTCTTCACATGTACCCCAAAATCTAAAATGCAATAAAATATATATTTTTTAAAAAAAATAAAGTGAAAAAAAAATTTCTAAAGCATTAACATTTAATATACTTAGATGCTGTAATTATGATTCATTTTTCATTAGGAAAAATGATTTTTAGAATAAAAAATTTAAATAATTTTAAGCATACAGTTTTAAAAAGCAAGAATGAGGTCTCATTTATTCAACAAGTATAAAAGAGTTTATTATCATACCTGAAGAGCCTCAGATCTGGATTCACACTGCCTGGGTTTGAACTCTGATTCCTCCTTACTGTGTGACCTTGGGCAAGCAAGCTATTTAACCTCTTCTTGCTCCAGTTTCCCACCTGCACCTCCAGTGCCTACCTAAATGGGTTGGTAGGAGGATGAGTGAACAATTTACTTGAAGTGTTTGGCACAGAGTGTAACACCCAGTAAGCACTCAAATGCCTCAGTGGCCTCATAGAAAGAGTTCAAACAACAGGAAAGATAAACATCATATCCCAATGCCTCAGGGACAAGTAATTCAGAGCTGTACTTCTAGTGGGCAATTTCCCTCGGGCAGAATCAATCTCCAAGACCTTTGCTAATATTTTTAAGTTTCTTCCAAAGAAGGACGGTAAGTAGATATTTCTTTTATGTGTAATTACTCCTTCGGTTTTTTTTTTTTTTTAATGTACTGGTCATAATTTATTGTGCAAAGTGCCTTTCGATTTCAAAAACAAGCCTACACATTATGTTAATAGAATTGTCATAAAACACTAATCATTACTCTAAGATTAAATGACCTCATAAAAATATTGTTTATGTTGCCAACATACAGTGGTTAATTTAAAGATAAAAATAATTGTTGATAAAAATCACGTTTCTCTGTCAAATGTCTATTCAAAAATCAGTGAAATAAAAAACTAATCTCTTATCTCCTGTATCCAACATCCTTCTTTCTGTGCAAATTAAACTATCTAAATATGAGTAAAATAAAATCTGTGTAAAATAATCTTGTTCACAATAGACTTTTAGTAAATATTTGTTGAAAAGATCAATTTAGTTCTTATTGCTTAACAATAGACAATATCTGACTTTTTGAAAGAGTGAGAATTCAGTTAAGATTGCATAAATATTGAGTCTTGACCAATAAAGAAGATTCAGAGGATAAGAGGGAATTAAGAAAGAAAGATTGAAATTTGTCTCTGACACCTTCTCTCGAAATGAGACATCACTTTTTCTTTATGAGAGAGACTATGCCAGAGGCATTCTTTATCCTAATTTCTAATCCAAACTTTTTGATCTTTTGACCCTAGGAATCTTCTACTCAAAATAAGGCAGTTCTTCTTCAAAGTTTTGATTTTGTTTGCTAACCTTTCTCTGTTTATGGGATCTGTTCCTTTCTTGCATGGAATATCTGCCTACTTAAAATGGCTAAAAGGTCTTAAACCTCGGAGATTCACAGGCTCAGATTTGAATCTTAGTGCGCACCAGCTGGATTGTCTTCTTTCAGTCCCATAACCTTACTCAGCCTCAGTTCCTTTGTAAAGTGGACATAATAAATAATCTCTCAAAAGGTTACAATAGAGTTAAGTTAAACCATAGATACTAAACGATTGGGCATGATAGGCAATTTAACAACGTGTTTATTCTTCCCTTTCCCTGTGACACTTTGCTGAGGCTGGACAATCTTTCTGTGAACCCTGACATTCCTCGGTCTCTTTCCTGTCTTTCCTTCCCAGAGCAGAAGGTAAAGTTCTCCTGAACTCGTATATATATATATTTTTTTTTAATCTAGAGGAACACTTGAGCTCTATGTTAACTTTCATCCACTCACAATTCAGGTCCCAGGGAAACTGGAAAGGTAGATGAATTAGTGGTGTGCTTGGTCCCTTTTGAGAAGGGCCTAAGAAGCAGGGACCCTTGCTTAAGTCAGTGGGATCTCAGTATATTCTCTTGACCATCTTTGAAATCTGGATTTGGGCTCTGCCCACCTTCCTTCTTAGACCCGAAAAGACTAAATCTGTGAGCTGCGTTTTCCGCAGGAGATGCCAAATGCGTAAGACTCTCCCAAGATCCCAGAAATAACATATTAACATTATGTTAATATGTCCCCACCCGGCAAGGAAAAGGTGAAGGAAGAAAGAGAAGCGGGGCGGGGTGCGAGATGCCACAGGTACCTGCGGATTAAGGAACAGTCCTAGCCAATAGCTCTGCCCAGTCTGAGCTTTCCAGCTCGCCTCTCGCCTTTCGCCTCTCGCCCGCAGCGCCTTTCTCTGGAGCAGCCAGAGCATTTGGAGCGGCTGAGAGGGGATGAGGTCCCGGGGGAGTCAAGGCGGTGTCTGTCCCGCAGCCGCTTCTCAAATCTCTAGCGTCCAGCCCCGGCCCGGCCCCCGCCAGGTTCGCCCCGCAAGCTACCCTCAGCGTTCCTCGCAGCGCCCCGCGCTGCCTCCTTGGCGTTCCTAGGTGCGCGCTTCGCGCTGCGCTCCTGGACGCCGGGAGCGGGCAGTGCTCTGCACTTGGCGGCCGCAGGGGAAAAACGCTACCTGTAGAAGTAATGTAAGCAGAAGAAGCCCAGAAGCACCGGCCCAGGTGGCCCGAAGAGGGAGAGCGGCTGACGGGCGAGGATCCCAGCGGGCACCACGAAGGAGGGTAGCTCCTGCAGGAACCAGGCGGCTGGGGCGGACAGGCTGGTAGCCGCGGGCGTCAGGATCTCCGTGTGCTTCCCGTAGCTGGCGGGCTTCGCGAAGTACAAGACCAGTGCCCCGAAGGCGGCCAAAGTGACGCTGCCTGCCAGCACTGGGCTCTGTTGGCACTGAACCCCCATCGCGCCGCGTTCCCCGCCGGTGGCCGCTGCCCTAGCACAAGAGAGCGCGGACCCCTTTATGGAGTGCGAGACACCACCCCATGTCCGCCCCCCTCGGCCTTGGCTCCCGCCCCTCCATCCTGCCTCCCACCCCGGCGCGGCCAGCCCTGGCTCGGCTTCGCAGGAATACCCCTTTCTCAGGGATTCAGCCAAGGGAGACAGGGAGGACGAAGGTTTCCTTAGTTCCACAAGGTGTCTGCGCCCGCGCGCCCGCCCTCTCCACCGCTTTATATTCACCTCCGCCTTAGGCTGCCCTTCGATATCTTGTTCCTCAACTATTACCTTCTGATGCGGCAACTTGTGGAACTAAGACACTGGAAGAAAAACCCACGGAGACAATTCAGCCGGGGTGGTTCTCCCGCCCCAACACACACCCTCTGTGCAGTCCGTAGCCACTCAGCCCCACCCTCGAACACCCCAGCCGGGGTCTTTCCAGCTCCTCCGGTTCCTTATGCACCTTCACTCCCCCACCGCTCCTACCCAACCTTGTGACCTTCCTTGGACTCTGAACCATCTCGGCTCTTTGAGCGTCTGCCAGCCCCTCTGCTCTGGGGCGCCGCGATCCTTAGCCACTCTCAGCATCAGTGCCAGCTCTGCCCCACCACGCGCGCCAAGCAGGTACCAGTCTCTCCCTGCCCTAATTCCTCAGCAGTTTCTCTCTGCGTCCCCGCACGCGTCCCTGGGCCGCCCGCCTGGGTCAGAGAGGAGCGTCCGCTGAGCTCAGGCGACCAGGCACAGATTGGGGCCAGAAGTCGAGGTTCTGTCTGTCGGTCCTCCCCCGCCACCCTGTCTAGGTCCCCCAGAGTGGCGCAGACTCAGGCTAAAGTCTAAGGGTACTTTTCTGGGACGCCCTTTCCCAGCTCCTACAGCCAATGAGCCGTGGCCCATAAGGTAGTGGCCTGGCGACCCCGCTGCTCTCTGAACTCCTGTCTAGCCATCACACACCCAGACGACTCTTTCACTCTTCCATTTCCCACCTTTATCTTACCCTCCAGCTCCTCCTTCTCCTACCTCTCCCCTTCTATGAATCAGCATCCAGGCTTTCTTGGCTGCCTCCTCCTCTGTTTCCCATCCCTTCTTTTCTTCTCTACCTTCTTTCTTCGACCTGGCTTTCTCCTTCCGGGTTGACCTCCTCTTCTCACCTGCTGTTTACCTCATTATTCCATCTTCGTGTCCCATCTCCCTTGATTACTTTATTTCTATTTTCTCCTCTGGTCCCTACTTGGGGCTCTACCCCAGTCCCTCCCATTTTTCAGTCTTCCCTTACTTTGGAGGTCTCTTGTTCCTTCCCCTTCAACTCACACCTCCGAGAAGCCCCATTCAGTACTTCCCCATCCACTTCTGCTGGGTCAGGCCAGCTGGTCCAATGTCAGACACAGTCCCTCATCTGCTCCAGTTTGGATCTCCTGATTGTTGGCACACATGATATACAGCAATGCTTTAGTGCTACAGGACATCCTCTGCTTGCTGACAAGAGACGTTTATTAATTATATTCTCATTGAGTTATAATTAATATTAATCATGCTTCGGTTTTAATTTGATCACCACTTCCAAATCACCCATACTGACTGAAGCATTTTTCATGGAATAACCAGGTGTTAGCCATCACAGCTGTTTCAAGCTTTTTTTGCACTGACTTTAGAGTTCAAGTCCAGTCCCAGCTTCCTCAGCTACAACCTGCTTGTTGAAGATGGCCAAATCTGGATCTCCAACAAAGACATGAGCTTTAGCTCTGCATTTTCTCCCTGCTGGAAAACTCCACTTGCATGTCCTTCAGAGATCTCAAACCCAACCCTACTCAAAAGTAAAGGTGGTTATCTTTCCCTCAACCCGTTTAGACCCAAATCCTCCTATGTTCCTGAGTGTTATCTCTTCCCTGTCCTCAGTCCCCTTAGCATCCCTAGGAAGCTGGCTGATAGACTCGGGAAACTATAGATTTCATGTATGGCAATACAGCATTAGGAGAACAAACAGTGCAATATTTCAAACCCAGCTCAATGGAATAATTTTTTTAAATGAAATGTCTTCTGTCTCAATTTCATTCTCTCTTTTTCTTCTAACTCTGCCCAATTTTTGTCCTCCTGAACTTTTCTCCACTATTATAACAGTCAGCTTGATAAAACCAGTGATCTTCGGTTTATACATCTGTGGATTCGCTGTGGGTCAGAAATCTGGGCTGAGCTTGACTTATCTTGACAGTGTTCACTTATTCATCTATCTAACAACTTAGAGCCCAGCTCCAAGCTGTGTTTGGATGGAGAGACTTAGCTGAGACTGTCATCCTGGGATGAGTGAGCTAGTTCTACCATGTCTATACAATGTTCATAACAAAAGCACAAGAGTAGAAGAAACACACAAGGCCTCTTGAGGCTCAGGCCAAGAGCAATCACACCTTTACTTCTTATTTATTTTATTGACCAAATCAAGTCATATGATGGATTCTAGAGTCCGAGTGAGAGAGTATCTGTAAATTTACATGGTAAAGGGCATAGATATAAGGGGAGGTAGAAAATTAGAACCAATAATGCAACTGGTCTGTATTACACACATGAAGGAAGTGCTCAAATTATAAATATACAGCTTGATTGATTTGCACAAATTGAACACACTCTTGCAAGCTGCACCTAGGTCAAGAAACAGATTATCAGCATACCAGGAACTGTGCTCCTGCCTCCTTATATCCTCCTTCCAGGAAAAATAAAATAAAATAAACTACCCTGACTTCTTTTTTTTTTCTTTTTTTTTTTTTTTTTTTTTTTAATTGCATTTTAGGTTTTGGGGTACATGTGATGAACATGCAAGATTGTTGCATAGGTACACACATGGCAGTGTGCTTTGCTGCCTTCCGTCCCCTCACCTGTATCTGTCACTTCTCCCCATGCTATCTCTTCCCACCTCCCCACCCCCCGCCCCTCCCCCATTTCCCCCCAACAGACCCCAGTGTGTAGTGCTCCCCTCCCTGTGTCCATGTGTTCTCATTGTTCAACACCCGCCTATGAGCGAGAATATACGGTGTTTGATTTTCTGCTCTTGTGTCAGTTTGCTGAGAATGATGGTTTCCAGGTTCATCCATGTCCCTATAAAGGACGTGAACTCATCGTTTTTGATGGCTGCATAATATTCCATGGTGTATATGTACCACATTTTCCCTATCCAGTCTATCATCGTTGGGCATTTGGGTTGGTTCCAGGTCTTTGCTATTGTAAACAGTGCTGCAATGAACATTCGTGTGCACGTGTCCTTGTAGTAGAATGATTTATAATCCTTTGGATATATACCCAGTAATGGGATTGCTGGGTCAAATGGGATTTCTATTTTTAGGTCCTTGAGGAATCGCCACACTGTCTTCCACAATGGTTGAATTAATTTACATTCCCACCAACAGTGTAAAAGTGTTCCTATTTCTCCACATCCTCTCCAGCATCTGTTGTTTCCCGATTTTTTAATGATCGCCATTCTAACTGGTGTGAGATGGTATCTCAATGTGGTTTTGATTTGCATTTCTCTGATGACCAGTGATGATGAGCATTTTTTCATATGTTTGTTGGCCTCCTGTATGTCTTCTTTTGTAAAGTATCTGTTCATATCCTTTGCCCATTTTTGAATGGGCTTGTTTGTTTTTTTCTTGTAGATCTGTTTTAGTTCTTTGTAAATTCTGGATATCAGCCCCTTGTCAGATGGGTAGACTGCAAAAATTTTTTCCCATTCTGTTGGTTGCCGATTCACTCTACTGACTGTTTCTTTTGCCGTGCAGAAGCTGTGGAGTTTGATTAGGTCCCATTTGTCTATTTTGGCTTTTGTTGCCATTGCTTTTGGCGTTTTGGTCATGAAGTCCTTGCCTACACCTATGTCCTGAATGGTTTTGCCTAGATTTTCTTCTAAGGTTTTTATGGTATTAGGTCTGATGTTTAAGTCTTTAATCCATCTGGAGTTAATTTTGGTGTAAAGTGTCAGGAAGGGGTCCTGTTTCTGCTTTCTGCACATGGCTAGCCAGTTTTCCCAACACCATTTATTAAACAGGGAGTCCTTTCCCCATTGCTTGTTTTTGTCAGGTTTGTCGAAGATCAGATGGTTGTGGGTATGTTGTGTTTCCTGTGAGGCCTCTGTTCTGTTCCATTGGTCTATATCTCTGTTTTGGTACCAGTACCATGCTGTTTTGATTACTGTAGCCTTGTAGTATAGTTTGAAGTCCGGTAGTGTGATGCCTCCCGCTTTGTTCTTTTTGCTTAGAATTGACTTGGCTATGCGGGCTCTCTTTTGGTTCCATATGAAGTTTAAGGTGTTTTTTTCCAGTTCTGTGAAGAAGGTCATTGGTAGCTTGATGGGAATAGCATTGAATCTGTAAATTACTTTGGGCAGTATGGCCATTTTCACGATGTTGATTCTTCCTAACCATGAACATGGAATGTTTCTCCATCTGTTTGTATCCTCTCTTATTTCGTTGAGCAATGGCTTGTAGTTCTCCTTGAAGAGGTCCTTTACGTTCCTTGTTAGTTGTATTCCTAGGTACTTTATTCTCTTTGTAGCAATTGTGAATGGCAGTTCGTTCTTGATTTGGCTCTCTTGAAGTCTATTACTGGTGTATAGGAATGCTTGTGATTTTTGCACGTTGATTTTGTATCCTGAGACTTTGCTGAAGTTGTTTATCAGTTTCAGGAGATTTTGGGCTGAGATGATGGGGTCTTCCAGATATACAATCATGTCATCTGCAAATAAAGACAATTTGATTTCCTCCTTTCCAATTTGGATACCCTTTATTTCTTTTTCTTGCCTGATTGCTCTGGCTAGAACTTCCAGTACTATATTGAATAGGAGTGGTGAGAGAGGGCATCCTTGTCTAGTGCCAGATTTCAAAGGGAATGCTTCCAGTTTTTGCCCATTCAGTATGATATTGGCTGTTGGTTTGTCGTAAATAGCTTTTATTGTTTTGAGATACGTTCCGTCAATACCTAGTTTATTGAGGGTTTTTGGCATAAAGGGTTGTTGAATTTTGTCAAAAG